TTATCCCATATATGGAATAAATTGTTTGGCATTAAGAATATCCAAATCAAACTTCTCTTGCATATATCAGTAAATAGAACTATTTTAAGCTTATATAACAATGTGTCATAGTAATTATGCTTCATACATCTGAAGTTCTGTGAAATTCTGAAAGGGCTTAGGATAAGAAAAAAATCCCCTTAAAGGATTTATAAAATGAATAAGAAGGAATATCTGTAACCGAATATGGTCAAAGTCAGAGTTGGAGGGTGTGGATCATAGAAGAGGCTAAGATTCTAAGACTAATTAGAAATAAATATACTGAAAGTCAATGTTTGCAATGTTAAATCCCTACAGAATAAAGACCATAGAAATGAGAAATATCATACTACAGATTTCAATGACAGAACTCATATTTTTGTGTGGGACAAAATGTCATTACCATGTTAAGAAGTGTGCATTTTATTTTTTATCAAGCAAGGGACCATAAAGGAATATGGTGGTGCTTTTGACCATAAGGTCAGCAGTGCAAACTCACCAACTGCTCTAAAGGAGAAAGAGGAGATTGTCTGCTCCTATAACGCTTTATCGTCTCAGTCAGAATCCACTAACAAGATCTATTAGTTTTTGCCTTTTTAAAGGAGGATATCTGGTTCGAAATTCAACTTCAGAGTAATGGGGCTTACGATATTTCATTAATCTTCTAATACTTGTAAATCCTAAACATTTTGAAGGAATGGAAAATTAAACCTGAGATGTGTTTATTTTTAAAAATTAACATTTGACTGGTATATATATGATCAGCCTCATATAGGAAGAGATAGGGAACACCAGCTGGTGACTGGGAAATGCTGGACTCAACCCTCACTCTGAAAACATCCTATAGCTTACCATTACAACCACATTTAAAAATAAAATTTAAGAATTTTATTTTCCATATTAGAAATGCTTTATAAATTCATTAAGCATGTAATTATGTAAATCACTCCATCATCACAAACTCCAGGTGATAAAGTCCATACTGTCTCCTCAGAGCCTACAGGGAACATATAGAAACTGCTTTGTGATGTGTTCCTTTGTAGACACACACGTACATTTCAACTACAGAAACACACAAGCACTTTAATATGTAGCATCCCACTTTATACTCTCCTTGATTCTGTTCAAAGCCAGGCCAGTTAAATGGTAGATAATCAGTCATTAAAGGGACTTTTGATCTTTTCATGTGCCACCTCTCCTGAGGTAAGAACTCTGAATTCATAAGGGGAAAAATTAGTTGTCTAAATTCTGGTTTTTAGTACTAGTTTTCAGTCATGAAAGAGAAAAACAAAAAAATTGCACCAATGTTAAGACACGGGTCGGAAGCCTGAGGTACTGAGTTTACAACTAGTGCTGGTTTGCTCCTTTTTCATAATAAGACCATCTGGATTCCAGGAAGCCAGGGTAGAAGGAGAAAAGGAGATGAAGAAGGGAAAATGAAAGTGAGTCCAAGAAGCACATCCTTAAGTTATTTTTTTGTTACTTGCAATACGCCCTATTGTTTCCCAGCACATAAACAGATGGGTGATTTCTTTAACAAGGAACTCTAGAAAAAGGAAACCGCTTTCACTGGATAAAAAAGAAAAGACCTGCCATATTAATTATTAGTCAATAACACCTTCTTACAGCCCACCTCCAGGATGTAGCTAAAAGCACTAAATTTACAAGGAGATTGTAACCTAATATATCCTGAAAATCAGTCTCCTACCCTCTCGCTGATTTCAGCCTTATTTTTAACATACATTATCAATTTTCTCAGATTTCACAGGATGTTTAGATTCATGAACATAAAATGATAGAACAATTTATTTTGAAAGCCTGGATTGGGGATTTATTTCAGTCTTTTTTCCTTCACGCCTTTTTGCCTATTTTTTTCCTTCTTTATATTTTAATTTCTTAATTAACCAATTACATAAATAAAGGGGAATGCATCAATGCTGAAAAAGGAAATAATACCAAAGTTGATAGAATATTTACATAAAATATAAATATATTTAAGAGAGTAGTGCAATTGTCACCACAATCACTTCTAGAACACCTTTGAATTCATTATTATTAGTTCCTCATTTCCCCTCAACTTTTTTATGATGGCATAACCCTAAGAAACTATCCATCTAGTTATTGTCTCTATATATTTACCTATCCTGAATTTAATATAAAGTAAATTATATAACTCCCCCACAGTAACAATAACAAAACAAAACAGAAAAATGTCCAACTAAAAGAAATCAGAAAATAATAAGAACTAGAACCAATTGAAAATTAGTCTAAAGGGAAAACAAGTGATAAGTTGTTAAACTTTACCCAAACACTATGTTTTTTCACTGTCCAATGGACTCTGTCTAAGGGCAAGGCTAGTAACATCCCTGGTCAATTGTTAGATGGGATTCAATTGAGGCTTAATCCTTTGAGGACCCTGTAAATGGATTTTGGTCTTTCGTTGTCATCCATAGCCATCTGCAAGCCAGATGCTCAGCATTTAAGTTCTAATATATTTCCCTCCTCAGATCTTTGGTTTTATTATTAACAATCCTTGGATCACACAGGTTTGGTTGCTTCTTCCATGCCAGCTACTGACAACTTACTTAAATGGCTCCTTGTTTTAAGACAAGAATTTAAGACCCAAGATGCTATTCTTTCTGATAGCCAGGAACCATCCGATTTCTTCAGCACACTTTGTTTCAGCACCATTTCTTCAGCTATATCTTCATGAGGTTAAGTATCTAGTAGGGCTGTATCATACTTAAGCTCCAGCTCAAAATCTATTAGCATTTATTGTTAAGTGTGAGCTCAAAACCCATCCATATAGATAAGGTTTGTGTTTGTGTGTTTGTTCCACTTAATGACAACACTACAGCTTTTTGAAATGCAATATAATTAACTTCTGTGGAGCCTTTTATAATTCTAATAATCATATCATTAAATTAGCCAATAGTATAACATTTAGAATACTATTGAGATAAAGGGGCGGTTTATATTTGGGAAATATTTTAAGACAAATATGTGGCATCTTCACTTAGACCTATTACAACTTTAAATGACTGAATACTGTTTAAGAAAACAATGAGGCTTAGACACATGACAAAAAATTCAATAATACTCATACATTATAATAGAATTATGTCTGCATAGCTAATACATATAATTAAAAAGCTAATAAAAATGAAAACCATATAATTAAAAATATATATACACACACACACACACACACATTAAGTCTTACTGGCCAACCTCGATCCCAAGAGCTTTAAACTAAAGTCCAATGACTTCTGAATCCATGACCTTGAGGTAGCAATCCTCCTCTTCTCTCACTAGGGCATCAAAGCTTTAAATCCAAAGGAATGCATTAATTCCTTTGATCTGTAAGAGGTGTGTTTAAGGTGAAGTCTGGTTCACTTAGTGGGTTTTTGGGCTCAGAGGGTTCTTATTTGACCTATATAATATGATCTACAAAGTAAGACAAAATTTATGGGGCCTGGCTCAGCAAGGTTTGCAAAGAAATTCGGTTAAAAATTTGGCTAATGTACTTTCACAATGTAGTTTATAATAAGCAGTAAGTAGGAAACTTTGTTAAGTTAAAAGTTACTATCTTTGATTTTAGTGAAACATATCTTTGAGAGTAAAATGAGGTTAAGCCTTCTGCAAAAATTGGCTATTACCTCAGACTCAAAACTCAAACTCACTTCCATTGTTTTGATTCAAATTCATAGAGACCATATAGGACTGAGTAAAATTGCTCCTGTTGGTTTCTTATGTTATAAATCTTTATGGGACCACAAAGCCTTGTCTTTCTCCAACAGAGCCACTGTTTGCTTTGATCTTCTGACTCTGTGGTTAGCAGCCCAATTTCCAACCCAGGATGTCACCAACGCTGCTCTGATATTATTTCCAAACTATTAACTGTTTAAAGAAGCACAGGTGGCTTTACAATTTAAGCATGGGCTGATAAGCAAAAAGCATATTTAAACCCACAGGCCGTTCCACAGAAGAAAGCGAGGCTGCCTGCTTCCATTAGACTTATAGTCTTGGAAATCTTATAGAACAGTTCTATTACGCCACTATGAATTGGAAATGATTCTTGGCAGTGAAATGGATAGTAATGATTTAGAAGTCCCTGGATGGCACACATTGTTAAGGCCTAACCAAAGGTTTGAAAGAAAATCCACTGTCCTGGAGTTTATTCTGACCAACAGAAGCCATGCAGAGAAGAGTAGAATTGCTTTATAGGGTTTTTGATACTGTAAATCTATAGGGAACAGACAAATTCATCTTTCTTCCTCTGAACAGCCTACAAGACTTTTAGTTAGTAATTAAACACTTAACCCACTAAACAACCAGGGCTTCTTAACCAACATTTTAGGAATTCAAATCTACTCAGAGGTACCTCAGAATAAAGATATACTACACACCAATAATAGGTCACCTCCATTGAAACCCTATGGCTTGCAATTCTACTGTGACACTCTTGGGGCCTCCAAGTGTTGTAATTCTCAGAATGACACCATTTTATTATTGTTTTCTTAACTGGTTAAGAAATTACTTGAGAGCTCTGTTTTGAACCTCTGAGGTTTGGGCAAGTGCTTACGTACTTGGGTATTTGGAAGAATGAATGTTCTGCCAAGAGAGAATTTCCCTTTCATTTCCTTGAAATCTGAGACAATACCATTAATAGAATGATTGTAGCCCAAATTTTCTCACTTCAAAAACTAGTTTTCCATTTCTAGTAGATTCCTAGAAAAATCAGTTTACTTATTCTTTTGCCTCAGCTTTCTTTTCAGTAAGTTGGGGGTAAAAGTAATGCTAGTTCCAAGTTGTTGTTGTTAGGGTTAAAAGAAAAAATAAATGTAAAAAAACACAGAAAACGTCCTTCTTTAAAAGAAGGAAAGAAGGATTGCCTTAACATTTGTTGTTGTTTCTGGTATAGATATGTATATAACTGTTATGGCTAGTTTTAATTTTATTTTTTTTCTAGTGAAGTAGAGATGATGGATATTACCAATGACAGTTTTCAAAGCCATTTCACTCTTTTGGGATTTTCGGACCGTCCCCATTTGGAGAAAATCCTTTTTGTGGTCATCTTGATTGCCTATCTCCTGACCCTTGTGGGGAACACAGTCATTATTTTGGTGTCTCGCCTGGACCCTCACCTCCATACTCCCATGTACTTCTTTCTCACCCACCTCTCCTTCCTGGACCTCAGTTTTACCACCAGCTCCATTCCTCAGTTGCTCTACAACCTTCACGGATTTGACAAGACCATCAGCTACGCTGGCTGTGCCATCCAACTCTTTCTGTTCCTGGGCCTGGGCGGTGTCGAGTGCCTGCTCCTGGCTGTCATGGCATACGATCGCTTTGTTGCAGTCTGCAAGCCCCTGCACTACATGGTGATCATGAATCCACGTCTCTGCCTAGGCTTGGTCTTGGTAGCCTGGGGTTGTGGAATAGCCAACTCCTTGGCCATGTCTCCAGTGACCTTGCAGTTACCCCGCTGTGGGCACCACCATGTAGACCACTTCCTGTGTGAGATGCCAGCCTTGATTCGGATGGCCTGTGTCAACACGGCGGCCATAGAAGGCACGGTGTTTGTCCTGGCGGTGGGCATTGTGCTTTCACCCTTGATTTTTATCCTGGTCTCCTATGGCCACATTGTGAAGGCTGTGTTACAGATTCGGTCAGCTTCAGGGAGGCAAAAAGTCTTTAACACGTGTGGCTCTCACCTCACCGTGGTCTCACTTTTCTATGGCAACATTATTTACATGTACATGCAACCAGGAAACAGCTCCTCCCAGGACCAGGGCAAGTTTCTCACTCTCTTCTACAACATTGTCACTCCACTCCTGAACCCCCTGATCTATACCCTCAGAAACAAAGAGGTGAAGGGGGCATTAAGGAGACTCCTCTTAGGAAACAGAAAGGTAGGAAAGGAATAAGGGCACACTAACCAGTCCCTGATTGCCATCTACAACATGGTCATTAATGGTGCCCTGAAGTATTGGAATGGGTCTTGGCCAGGGACTCTTCCCTCTTTTGACTTTTCTTGAAACTCAAAAAGACTAACGTACATCACACATGTCATCCTATCATTCCCCTAAGATGAGTAATAAAGATATTCAAAGAGTAAAGAGAGAAATCTAATGTTAATATTTCATAGACATATACCAGAGTACCAAGGAGGAAACAGGTTTCTTAGATATCTGTTTTGCTGTTCTTAAATCATTACAGCATTCTGGGAGCTTTTGTCAGAAAGGTCACATGTCTTCTACCATCACTGATCTGGATACCGAGTATGGGTTTCTGTATCTATCAGACATCAGTTATCAGAGTTCAGCAAAGTTTGCTGTTTTCTATTGTCTGCTTTTTCAGCAAAGTTTTATTCAAATATTTTTATTTTCTCCCAGTCACCATCAACATTTGGGATTTTTTTATACTTTTGTCCCCAACTCTTGGTAAATCAAGACGTTTTCTTATATTAATGATATTTTCATAATTTAAGTCTGAAAGTATGATTAGTTCTGATATATTTTGCTTCATTAGAGAAGAGGTCCAAATGCGCTTTAAGTTTCTGCTATGTTCCAGTACTTGTGATCCATCCATTCCTCTCAGGCTTTTTCTCGGAATGATTGCTGTTATCCTCATTTTACTCAGATAGTTGGTAGGTAAGCCTTTTACTCCACATGAACTGAACCAGAATTTTACTCCAAAAATCTGATTCCTAATACTTGCTATGTTTTCCTGACACTTGCAAATTAAATGTAAATACCTTCAGTCTTTGGACAAGTAGTATGGGACATTTGCGGGGAGATTCTTTGTAACTGTCATTAGTTACATCATGCAATTCAGAGCTACTTCTGTTTATCATGCAACAAATTACCTAGAAATCCTTTAAGATACAGATTCTCATTCATTTTCTCTGGGTTATAGATTCTGTATTTCCATAAAGACAGTGGATACCCCTGCTGCTACTTCTCAGGCACATTTTGAAGATCAGGAAGTAAATGGTCCAACTATTTTTTTTTTAATGAGCATCCAGAGAGGAAGCAGATTTATAAGAAAGCTGAGATAATCTTCGTAGACCCAAAGGAAATAAAAGGCAAAAAGAAACGAAAAGCCTGCCTGCGGCATGAACCCTCCTGCCCCTGCTGTCACACCTTTTCTCAGTCCACTCAAGCCCATGTCTCTTCCTTTCCTCCACGATCTTTATTCCTGCCCGGCGTTCCTGCTCCAACCAGCCTTATACTTCAATTTTGAATATTGGCTCAAAGGTCACAAGCTTTATGACTCACAATTGAATGTCTTGTTTATAATACTTTCCCCCAAGCCTTTTTTTCTTTTAATAATTATTTATAGAATAATGTACTCTCTACAAAAGAAAATATAAACAATCTATTGTCATTGAGTTGCTTCTAGCTCATAGAAACCCTATGTGTTACAGTGTTGACTGCCCTCTTTAGAAAAGCAGGGAAGACTGTCTTCACAGTCCTACTGTTGTTGTTTGTTGTAAGGGGCCACCAAGTCCATTGTAACCCACTGTGGCTCTACACAACAGAATGAAATATTGTCCGGTCCTGGGCCATCCTCACATTTGTTCATATACTTCAGACCATTGTGACAGCCACAGTGTCAATCCATCTCCTTGAGGGTCTTCTGCCTTTTCTATGCTGGTCCCCCCTCCCCACGCCCCACCTCCTACTGTACCAAGTATGATATCCTTCTCCAGGGACTGGCTTCTCCTAAAAACATGCCCAAAGTGCATGAGACCAAGTCTTGTCATCCTTGCCTTTAAGGAGCACTCTATTATTTTTCCATGATAAATTCATTTGCCCTTTAAGCATGTCCTGTTTAATCACTTCCGTTAAGTCTATACTGACTCACAGAGACTCTTATTGGACTGGGTAGAACTGCCCTTGTGAATTCCCGAGACTAGCTTTTTTACTGGAGTAGAAAGCCCATCTTCCTACTGAGGAGCTTCTTTTAATTTTGAACTATGGACCTTGTAGATTGAAGTCCAATGCTTAACTACTACACCACCAGGACTCCTCTTTAGTCGATGGGATTTTCAATATTCGTAGTGAGTACCACAATTCAAATGAATTATTTCTCTTCTGTCTTCCTTCATCAATGTCCAACTTTCACATGCATAGGAAGCCAATGAAAATAATATGGCACACCTTACCCCTCAAAGTAACACCTTTAATTTTCAACCCTTTAAAGAGCTCTTCCCCTCTCCAGAGGTCTTGTGCAACAGATTTACCTAATGCAATGCATCTTTTGATGTCTTGCCTGCTGTTTTCATGAGCTTTGATTGTGGGTCCAAGCCAAACAAAATCTGAAGCTCTCTAACCTTATCTTTGTTTACCTTATCTATTGGTCCAGTGGTAAGTATTTTGGTCTTTACATTGAATTGTAATCCATACTGAAGGTTGTAATCCTTGATCTTTGTCAGAAAGTACTTCAAGTCCTCCTCACTTTCAACAAGAAGGTTGTGGCATTTGCATATCTCAGCTTATTAATAAGCCTTCCTCCAAATCTGATGCCATATTTTTAATTCATATCATCCAATTAGCATAGAGATGATTAGCATAGAGATTGAACAAGTATGGTGAGAGTATACTACCATGACACACACCCTTTCTGAATTTAAACCATGCAGTATTGCCTTGTTTCATTGATAGGCCTCTTGATCCATATACAAATTCCACATGAGCACAATTAATTGTTCTGGAATTCCTAGTCTTCTTAAGGTTATCTCTTGTTTGTTATGATTATTAGGTATTAGAGAGATTCAAATCATAAGCCTCTATGCTAGTAGTGAAAATCAAACTGTCTAAAATGAAATTATCTCTGTAAGGAAGAACCATATGAGGCAAAATTTATTTTTCAAGACTATTTCTACATCATATTAAGCATACTAAACAATTAAAGTTATGAGTTAGATGACAAAGTGAGCAAAATATATTGTCTTGTATTTTATGTGAGCACTTTCTATTCTAATCATTGATTGACATTCATCTCGTCGAGTGTCTGTATCTTTTCTTCCAAGGTTCCCTGCCTCTCGTATTTCCTTTATGTTTTCTCCTTGAAAGCATTAAACTTTATTTTTTTGTCACCATCATTTATCTTCTGCTCTCTTGTTTTTAAAAAGCTCCATTGGTATTCCTGTCTACTCAATTCTGTTGTTGGTTTTTTTTTGTTTTGCTTTGTTTCGTTCTGATGTTTCTGCCACTACTTTGGATGCCTCTTCTATTAATACCATCTATACCATATACACGATTAAAGTTAATTTTATGATTCAAACAGATATAAAATTAAAACATCTTAAACAATCTGTATTGTTCATATATTATGAAAGAAGGAGGATTATACCAAAAGTATAATTGGTATAAATAAAAATGTAAACCATGATAGATGTATCTAGAATGATTGCTGTTGTTAGTGGACATCCATTTGATTTAGATACAGGGCAGCACAGTGCACTTGTACCCTGCTATTTTGTGTCAGCATAACTATATGGAGTAAAAGGATGTTAAATTAATTGCAAAGGCAGTCAAAATTGTTTCTTCTGGACTACGGGTGAACAGAAAATGAGAAAGAATCCAATTTAATCTTAACCATGCAAGACATAATATGCACTTTGGAGTCAAGTACGTAGATCACAGGAATGGGTTTTCAGCTTACACTTAATTCTAGCTCTCACATAAGAACAGGTAGTTCTTACATCATGGCCCTGATTGATACTCACCTTCATGAAATGATCACTGAAGATAAGGGTGTCAAGCACATTTGTACATTTGTTGCCCTCATCATTCTCAAAACATTTGCTTTCTGCTTGAACCCTTGGTATCAGCTCCTCATTTTTCTCCCTCCCCACTCCCCACTTACCCTTCCCTCCTGAATCCTTGATAATTTATAATTTATTATTATTTTATCATATCTTACACTCCCCAATGTCTCCATTCTTTTACACATTATTATTAGATTCCCACTTCCCCCAAACCTCCCTGCATCAGCACTAAGAAACTATTTGTCCATTTACTTTCGTATAGATTTCCCTACCTGGATATAATATAAAGAACAATATACATTCCCCACCTCCCTACAACAATAACAAAATAAAACACAAAGAAATCTCAATCCAAAGGAAAATTGTCAATAATAAAAACTGGAGCAGATTTAAAATGGGTCAAAATGGAGAACAAATGATAAAGGGTTACATTTTAACCTAACTACATCTGCATTAATCCAATTTCCAGTGCCCTCTGTCTAATAGCAGAGCTATTCAAGTTCCTGGTCAATAGTCAGAGGGGGCTTTCAGGAGACTTAATCCATGTAGAGACTCTGAAAATGGATTTGAGCTTTCACTCTCATCCATGCCTTTCTACATACTAGGTAAATGAGCTCTGATACAGTTCCCTCCTCCAGTCTTGGAATTTATTATTTACAATCCTTGCATCTCACAGGCTGTTGTGCTTCTTCCTTGTGGACTTATATGACTACTATTCTGACTACTAGGTTGTGGAGATGGTTTAAATATCTTGTTTGAGTTTGCCCAATAAGTGGCAATTTTAGGTCCCATATATATTATTTTCTTTCTTAGAAACCACTTGCTCAAGTGAAACCTTCTTGGTTTGTTGCCTGGGAAACTTATAAAATACTTCAGCTCATCAAAGTTTCTTCTTGTTACTATATGGTTAGGTCTTTATATGAATGAATATTTCTTAGGTCATTTCACACCAAAATCCCTTCTTTTATGGTGTATTCATTCCATATCCTGGTTTACCTGCTGAAAAATCATCTTCTTATTTATCACAAATTTATTTATGATTGTTTAACCATGTAAGGAACCCAGGGTAGGCATCTGTAAAAATTCCTTCCATCCAATTGCAATTGAAGCAGCATAAACCTGAGTTTAAGTCAGGCATCTAGCTTCTAA